GTAGGCCGAAACTTCAAAGTTTCCTGTACCAGTTGCAGTTTCCAGCTTCGACTGTTACAGTTCTGCTTCGTGCTGCTTAATGATCCTTGTTACAATTATGTTTCCTGCTGCTTTTACTGCTCCTTGCTGATGGACCGCGCGAGGGGGGGGCCCAAAACGAACATTTCTACCACGCCCTGAGCGCGTCTTCTGAATTGCCGGGGTGGGTAAAAACTCTCACCCCTCACGCAGATCGGCGGGGTCAGGGTCCAAAAACACAAGGGATTTGCCGTATGTCTGAAATTCGGTGGCACCCCTCACGCAGATCGGCGGGGTCAGGGTCCAAAAACACAAGGGATTTGCCACATGTCTGAAATTTGCTGGCAACCTTCATGCAAATCGGCGGGGTCGGGATCCAAAAACACACGGGGCGTCCCACATTTCTGACATTCGGTGGCACCCCTCATGCAGATCGGCGGGGCAAAGGTGCAACAACACACGGGATCCCCCACAGTTCTGACATCCGGTGGCACCCCTCACGCAAATCGGCGGGGTCAGGGCGCAAAAACACAAAGGATTTGTCACATGTTTGACATCCGGTCGCGCCCTTCACGCAGATCGGCGGGGTCAGGGTCCAAAAACATAGAAAGGACTTGCAACATGTCTGAAATTCGGCGGCACTCCTCACGCAGATCGGCGGGGCCAGGGTCCACACGCACAAGGGATGTGCCACAAGTTTAAAAAGTCGGCGGCACCCCTCACGCATATCGGCAGGGTCAGATTCCAAAAGCACAGAGGATTTGCCACATTTCTGAAATCCGGCGGCACCCCTCACGCGGATGCGTAGGGCCAGGGCCCAGAAACAAAAAAGATGTACGACATTTCTGAAATTCGGCGGCGCCCGTGACGCAGATCCGTAGGGCCAGGGTCGCAAAACAAACAAGTCCCGACAGTGCTTCACGGCGGCGCCCAGACCTCATGATTTAGTTGTTGCACCCCCCATGATCCGAAACAAGGGGCTGGCGGCATGGGGCGAAGCCCTTTACGTGAATGTGTATGTATGTATATATGTATGTATGTATGTAGGTATGTGTGTATGTGTGTATATATACATATATATACACATGTATATATATATATATATAAATATATATATATATGATGTCAGGGGGCGCGCGGGGGCCGGGCAAGCGCCGCGGCCCGCAGGGCCTGGCGTGGCACTGCGCAAGACCTTCTTCCCCCGCGCACCCCTGGCCTTGGCGGCGGCCTTCGCTCCTCCAAGATTGCGCTCTCGCGCCCTGACCGCCCGCTCGGCGACAGTCGACGACTATTACAGACGGGCACTGGATCTGCGACACTCGCCTGGGCCGCCCCCTGCCACCGCAGCGAGTTCGGGGGCGGCCCCCACGAGAAAGCGAATGCGCTTGCTCGGGGAAGCGGCCACCATGGCGTCGATGGCAGCTGCTCTCTCGCGGCCGCAGCCTTACCTCTGACGGGCGCCCTGGCCGAGGCGCCCTCGCGATTCCCTTGTCGCGCCCCCCGGCCCTCCTCACCGTTGCGGTCTTCCCCTTTAAGTGCTCGTGTAGGTGGAGCACGTGCCTGCGCCGACGCCTGCCAAGCTCGCCCCGCTCGCGCCGCCCCAGCCACGCGCGCGGCAACTTGCCGGGGGGGCGCCGCGCCCGCGAGAGCGCAGTCCTCCACGGACACGTCGAGCATTCGAGCCTTCTCGGGGCAATGGAGCTCGGAGAAACGGCGGACTCGCCGCCCCACGTTGCCCCTGGACGTCTTCCACGCGAGGACAAGCTCCACCAGCCGCCGGCCGCTGGCAAACTCAGGCCACTCCGCTGCAGCGCGGCCCCAAGCCTGCCGCGCGGTGCCCCCATCTCGACGATGCATCTCGGCGCGCTTCAAAATGCGCCGCAGCTGGGCGATGGCCTGCAGCTTGGGAAGGCCTGCACCCCTACAGATGCGCATCAACCATGCCTCGGCTTCTGGCGCAGACTCCGCTGCGCCCGCGCCTGTTGCAGACAAAAGGGAAGGCAAACGAAACGCCGTAAAAGCACGCGGCCAAGAATGACCTGGCCGATGCAGCTTCATGTTCTCCTTCACGTTCGCTACGATTATCTCCGCCCGTCGCGGATCCGCGTGGGCGGTTTCCCTGGCCCGGGGCCCCGCGACCCAATCGCCGACGCCCACAATGCGCACGCCGCTGCCGCATGGGCACCTGGACATCTGCCGCGCAAGCTTGAAGGCGATGCTCGTAAAACTGCTGGGGGCCCCCAAACTCCGCCGAGCTGCAGGCGCGAGCCGTTCTCGCCCCGGAGCCCCCCCAGGAAAGATCGAGCGAGAATGCGCCGATCCTGGTCGCTCCCCTTGGATTCCTCTCCGAGCGCACGGAACGCGACGTTCCAACGTTGGCTTTCCCGCGCCGAGGGCCCCGTCCGACCGTTGAAACGCCGGGGGGGCCAACATAAGTTTTGACGAACACAATCTCGCCCCCCAACTGTTGCGCCCCCACTGCGGCGCGGAGCGCGCTGGGCGTCGTCAGAAACTTGGCCAGACTTGGCGGCTTCTTACCCGCCGCCAGCAGCATGTCCGAAATCGCGATCTCGCCACCCTCCTTGGTCGTTGAATTGGCGAGCAGCTTCTGGGCCGAATGCGCCCCGCCCCGCGCATGGAACGCCAGCCGAGGGAGCGCGCCCGATGCAGCCACGGGTGCATGTAGATCCGCCGCGTCGCTGCACCGCGCCCGCGTCTCCTCTCGCACGCGCCTGCGCAAATCCACGCCCAGTTCCCCACCTGCCGCCAGGCGCGCGCGACGCGCGCGATCCCCCAGCGCAAAAACCTTACCGTCGCAATCCATGGCCCGCGGGAACTCCCGAACCCCGATCGCCCGGCCCACGATCCAGGGCCCTTCGGGGCCCGGCTGTTCCAGCCAGCCTGCCTCGAGACCGTAGCTCGGGAGAAAGTCCGGCCTTTAGAATGGACCGCGGCGCGACGCCGATCTCGACCTGGCACGCCTCGACCTGGCACGCGCGGTCGAGACCGTCCGCGGCCAACTGATAAACCATACCCTCTTTGAGAATTCTCGGGGTTATGAGTTTTTCGCGTTGAACCATCGCGGTCACCACCTGGCGGCACTGTTGCGAAGACCCCAAAGCTCCGCGATCGCCACCGAGGAACGCACCCCGCCGCACATCGAAACTTCCGATGGAACTGGACGTCTCCAAGAGTGCGCGGGTGGCGACCACTGCGCGGCAACCAGGGCGCGGGTCGGCAGCTGTTGCGGCTTGGGACTGTCGCGGCTGTCGCGCAGCTGTCGCAGCTGTTCTTTACGAGTGCGCAGCTGTCGCGGCCGTCGCGGCTTGGAACGCCTGTACGGGGAGACCCCGGTGCGCGCCTCCCGCTCGAACCCGCTCTTGCCGCGCCACTTCTGCTTCCTGGCCCTCGTCGCTCTGCGCGCGGCGCACGAGGTCCTCGCGACGTCGGAAACTCCCGCCACCCTGGCCTATGGTGAATTTGCAGCGAGAGTCCTTGAACGCCGAGCAAAACAAGCATATTGCAAATTGACCACCTGCGCAGCCCATCCAAGTTTCAGGCTTCAGGGTCACTGGATTCGTCGCAGAAAGAGCGGCGCTCCAAGACACCTTGTTTTCCAAAATTTGCACGCGCCGCAAGTCATGACGTGCTTTGGGTAGTCGTGGCTGTTGACGTGCTCCTCCAGGGTCACGGACACAGGCTCGGACGTCTCGACTGCTTTGCTCGGGGCGGCCTTAGCCTTAGCCTTCGCTGTTTCAACTACGGGCGACTCGCTGCTGGAGCCGCTGTCCTCTGCAGCCGCTGCTGGAGCAGCTGCTGGAACCGCTGCTGGAGCCATTGTTGCAACCGTCGGCCTCGGCAACTCCAACGGCGTTGGCAACTCCGTCGGCGTCGTCGGCGTCGGACGCTACTACGTCGGTTTCGGCGCCCGAGTTGTTGCAACCAGGGCTCGAGGGGGCCGCAAGGCTCGAGGGGGCCGCAGGGCTCGATGGGGCCGCGCGGCTCGAGGAGGCCGCAGGGCTCGAGTGGGCCGCAGGGCTCGATGGGGGCCGCAGGGCTCGATGGGGCCGCGCAACTCGAGGGAGCCGCACGGCTCGAGGTGGCCGCACGGCTCGAGGAGGCCGCGGGGCTCGAAGGGGCCGCGCGGGTCGAGGGGGCCGCACGGCTCGAGGAAGCCGCGCGGCTCGAAGGAGCCGCACGGATCGAGGTGGCTGCAGGGCTGGAGGGGGCCGCACGGCTCGAAGAGGGGCGCGGGGACGACGACGTTGCCTGGCTTGAGCCAAGTCCTACGGACAATGATGTCGACGGTGATGGTGATGGTGATGGTGATGGTGATGGTGATGGTGATGGTGATGGTGATGGTGATGATGATGATGATGATGATGATGATGATGATGATGATGATGATGATGATGATGATGATGATGGTGATGGTGATGGTGATGGTGATGATGATGATGATGATGATGATGATGATGATGATGATGATGATGATGATGATGATGATGGTGATGAGGATGATGATGATAATGGTGATGGTGCTGGTGGTGATGATGATGGTGATGGATATGACCATCGACAACAGCATCACCAGGAAAACCAGACTGGTTTTCAAGGATCCCGAGGATGTCTCAAGCGAAACGGGCCTGAGCACTTGGCGAACAACATCTAGGAACCCTGGGTTGTGAGGATGTCTCAGGCGAAACGGGCCAACGCAACTCAACTCGGGGCATCTTGGAGCCTGGGGTTCCAAGGATGTCTCAGTCGCGAGCACCTCGCGAAACGCATCTTGGAACCCAGAGGTGTGAGGACGTGTTGGAAGAAATGCTCCAAAACACCTCACGTCAGGGCAGATCGGAGCTTGAACGTGACGGATCCCCATCAACACTCGGCTGGCACGCGCCAGAAGCGGCTTTGGATACCGTTCGTTTGATTCCCCAGACAGCTGTGCTGACTGGGATTATGTTCAGATGTGCCGCGCT